TGTATTCCCATAGCACATATTATCCCAATGCTTTAGACCAATTGTCCCCAAACTTTTTACCCCCTTACCTGTAACGTGATCTGTCCACAAGTCCTAGGAGCAGTGGTTGGGAGCCTGGGCCAGAAGTGGGGCCGCGGTCAAGAGCAGGGCCATGGTTGGGGACTGGGCTGGGAGCGACGGGCTGAACCGGGGCCATGGCTGTGATTGTGGGCCAAGCCATGGCTAGGGCATGGCTGGGTGGTGCTCCTTCCTTGCCCCCTGTGGGGTCTAGCCCAGGCCTTGCTCCACCCCCTTGTGATGGGGTGGGGACACATCTAGTGCAAGGTGGGTGCTCCCCATCCTCCTTGCATGCAAAGGGGTGTTCCCAATCCACAAATAGGTTCACCACACTGTTCTATCTCTCTGAGTTATAAGGCCTAAGAGTCCCCCCTACTTCATCGGGTCCCAGCCCAGGGCCCTGTCAGTTGCAAGGGTCTCCATCACAGAGTTAATGGGGATCTAACCGCAACACAGGGACAATTCTCAGCCCTGCGGCTGGTGTCCCCCCCCCGGGCTACTTCCTACTCTGTCCCTTGTAGTCATGGTCCAGACATCTCCAGGCTCGTTGGCACAGATGGCTCCCAGTGATCCTGGTTCTCCTGGATGTCTGCCTCTCTGCCTGGGTCTCGGCGTGTCTGGCTCCTGCTGTCGGAGCCTCTGGTGCTTCCTGGAGTGGAGCCGATCCTTCCCCTTTAGCCGTCTGCCCAGACTGAGCTGCTCCTCTTTATACTACTGCCATACTTGGAGCATGCCCAGCAGGGCTTGGTGGGCGTGGCTTCCTCAGCCCACATTAGCCCGTCTCAGTCTAGTGCAGGATGAGTATACCCCATCACCACCCAAGCATTCTTCCTTGCCCCCCAAGGGGGTGCATCCCACTGTTTGGGGATCACTGCTTTAAACACAGTAGTTTTACAACCAACCCTTGAGGAAATCAAACAGACAGAGGATAAAGTCCTGATTTTCAGACATGTAGAGCACCCATATCTCCAGTTGAGATCAATGAGAGCTGCAGGTGTTTAACAGCTCTGAAAATCCGGTCCAAAATTACCTGCCCAGGATCCCATATAACCCCATGAAAAGGCCAGGAAAAGAAGGAAGCCCTGACTTCCACATGGTTTTGTTAAGTAACTTCTATGTCTTAAAATCAGGTGTCATGTAGCTAGGCTGTATGCAGTCGTTCCCCATGAAGTGTAGTCAGAGCACATTAATCCTGGACATAAGTTCTTGTAATGACAGATGGCCAAATAATGGTGTGGTTCTCCCAGCAGGAGGAGTTGAGACCGCTGACCTCAGTACACTTGTGGTTTTACCCCCAAGGCTTGAACTGAGAGCTCCCTAGTTACTACTCCCCTACTTAGCCTCTGCTACACTTGTTTCTATTAACCTTTACACAAATGGTGTTCTGCCCATTCCTTTGTAAATAACATCCCTAGTCTGCTAGAATGTGTTGTGGATCTACATTACATTCGCTTAGGACAGGTCTATGCTGCTGCTGAAATTGAGGTAACTTATGTCGCTCGGGGATGAAAAAGACACGCCCACGAGCGACGCATGTTACACAGACTGAAGCGCTGTCCACACCGCCGCTCTGTCTACAGGAGACGCTCTCCTATTCACACAGAGTGTCTTCACCAGACGCACTACAGCAGCGTCAACGTAGCACTTCTCGTGTAGACCTGACACCAAGCAAGCTTTTCCACAGAGAGGAATGGTTTTAATTTTGTCTGGGGTGGGGGTACAGCAAGTTTGTCTTCTGTTCTATTTCAGCAGAGTATAGTTTATCACTGCATTCACTCTCAACAAAAAAGCCGTGTGGTTAACATCTCGACTGTTCTCAGTGGTAGCAGATGACAGAACGAGGAGTAATGGTCTCAAGTTGCAGTGGGGGAGGTTTAGGTTGGATACTAGGAAAAACTTTTTCACTAGGAGGGTGGTGAAGCACTGGAATGCGTTACCTAGGGAGGTGGTGGAATCTCCTTCCTTAGAAGTTTTTAAGGTCAGGCTTGACAAAGCCCTGGCTGGGATCATTTAGTTGGGGATTGGTCCTGCTTTGAGAAGGGGGTTGAACTAGATGACCTCCTGAGGTCCCTTCCAACCCTAATCTTCTACGATTCTATAAAAACCATCTTGTTTGAAAACGTAAGGAGGCACCTTAAGATAGGGAACAGAAAAACTCATTGGATCCCATAGCCATGGCCCCTGAGCCAAGTGTCATTGCTCATTCTCTAAAAGGGAAGCATTTTTTTTTTTAGGAGGGAGGGAAGGTGTGGAATTAAAATGTCAAGTTTAAATACAGCGTTTGCTCTGTGGTTCAGAGTGCTTGGAGATAACGAATGTAGACAGACTGACCCTGTTAAACACCGCAATATTTCAACTCTCCATCAACTGATACGGAAACTACTAATGGACAATTCAAGTGCAAAAACACAAGCCAGTTGTCAACTGCAGCGCTGGTTGGAGTGGGAGGGTTTACTGGGAACCCAGAACTCCATAAACCCATGTGAACTAAGGCTCTGTCTACACTACCACTTACGTTGGTATAACTTATGTTGCTTGGGGGTTGAATAAGCCACCCCCCTGAGCAAGATAAGTTACACTGACCTAAGCACCAGTGTGGACAGTGCTATGTCGGCAGGATAGCTTCTCCTGACAACATAATTAATCTACCCCCAATGAGTGGCGGGAGAGCCCTCTGATGCGGCAGCACTGCTGTAAGCTCTCTAGTGTAGCCATACCCTTAGTTTTATAATTAGACAGGGGTTGCCATCAACTCAGATTTTAACAGCCAAAAAGGCCCATTGCAATCATCTAGTCTGAACTTCTGGATAGCATAGGCTAGGGAACTTCACCCAGTGATTGGTTCGGTTCATAGCTGTAGCATTTTGGAGACTTTAAACTCCAATCGGATTCGCACTCTGCGAATGGCAAGAGATCTTGGTGACAGCACAGACTAAAGCCTATATTGCAGAGACGCTGGATACTACAGAACAAACTTTAACCAATGGTGTCTTGATGACTGTAGATTCTTAACCTTTTCAAATCTACTAAAAGGCAGGAGAGAGTTGATCAGGGATCTGTAAGTTGACGTTGGCATGACACTGAATGCTAATTAATGGAATTAGAATCTAAATACCTTTTTCAGTATTGTTTCAGAGGGAACTCTTTTCCTAGAAAGGAAAAAGTAACAGCAAATGTAAAGAAGTCGGAATCAGAAGGAGGAACATTGCTTTTCTTATATATTTAGTTTACAGTTCTTGAAGCTCCAGTTAAATCTGGAGAGAAGGTTTATGCTGTATGTTTTGTGTCATAATGTAAGCTGTGTGGAATTTTCTGACTGGAATTATGTTCCATCTAAAGCAGGGCTTGGGGGACATGCACTTCGTCAAACAGGACTCTTGGAATTTTAGGGGAAGATTTGTTTCTTTGCTTCCAACCACTCCACACCACACAAAGACAGAGCACCCACACTGGAAAATTAAACAGAGCGCCTTTTCCAGCATTCCAAATACCAGAACTTCACATTCCAGCGGAGGGGTTTATATCACACTTGCACATGCAATGCCAAGTGAGTTACCAAGGTCTGCAAAACCCTGAGGATTAGCTTATGAAAACAGAGTTGGACCTCTCAAAAAAGGACTTTTAAGGTTCACAGCAAACCCAGCAGATGTCATCTCTCCTCCACCCCTCCTTAATGATTGCTGTAGGGTGGCACTCAAAGCCCAGAAGGAAAAGCTAGTAAAATATATCCTAGCACACTTACCGTTCAGCTCGCATCTCATCTGCAAGGCTAATACAATGGTCTAGGTGGCAAGAGGAGCCTCAAAACTGGCCTATGCTGAAGGGAGAGCTGGCATACAGCCATCTGGATATGTGTGAGGACTAAGGAACTGTGTGACTGTGTTGCCAATTACTGCTGCACTCTTTGGCCCCTAGACCTGCCTCTCTCCTGTGGCAGATAAGTTTCTGAGTGGTACCCGCATATGCGCATTTCCACAGGGGGAAATGCCAAGCTCCAGCTTTGAGGCTGGAGGATCTGTTGAGGCCCACAGCCTGAGAGCTCTGCAGTGCTACAGGCCGGTCTGGAATGGGGAACTGTAGCCCAGGTGGTTGGGCACATACATTTGTCTCTAAGGACTTTCCTGCTTTACTTGCACATCTGACATTACGCTGGAACTGCAGAAGCTGATCTGAAGCCTTGGTTGTGATCGGGGAGTTAGCAATACACGAGCAAAAAGGCTGATTTTTGATCAGCCCAAGGAAATAGGCAAGCCCCCTTCCTGCCTATCTCAACATCTAACAGGGCCCCCAAGGCAGTTTTTAAAGAAGTCTTTTCACAATAGGCTTAGTGCAAGAAAAGGGAGCTGGCCAGACGTGGTTGCTTAGACAAGAGCATTGCCCTAAATGTTGGAATGCCTGGCAGCACTTTCATTCAATGATTAAAGTACTTAGCCCATAGCAGAAAATGCCGAATTATGACAGACTGAATCTGGACAGCGCTGCTAGAAGTAATGCCAGGAAGCCTAATTTTTATGACTGGTAACTAAAGCCAAATGAATCATTTATTTAAAAGAACTCTGTAACTTAGATTTTTAGAGACATATAAAATAATAATGACTTTTACTTTGCCTTTTATACTCCAACATTTTGATTTATGGTTTTATATTAGAGGAAGAAATTAGTGCTCAACAGCTGGCAATTATTATGAAATCTTTACAGTTTTAAGTGCAAAAAATACTGTTGTTGTTTAAAAGTGAGCACTACCCATTTTCCTTCTCTTGGTGGTGTTTTTAAAAATATATATATATTTGTTTGCTTTGATGAAAGCAAATATATATATTATAATATTATATATATTTGTTTACCTATGAAAGACCTATTTATAGAAATACAGCTGCATCAGAATGGTGTGCCTAACAGAACTGTGTATGACACGGGGATGGAAATATAAATTGAAAAAATCATTAGGATACAGGTTTTATTTCTTTTCAGTTCAGTCAAACAATCACAATCCTGTATAATATTAAGCCCCCGTTTTGATGACGATTCCCTGTTGATCTTAGAAAGGCTACCACTGCAATGTCATATTATTACAATTATTGTGGATCATTCTAAAATAAAAATGAGCTGAATTCCATGAAGAGTCAAGACGTTTCCTTAAATATTACGGTGGTTTGGTTTACTTTGAGACCATTCTCTTACACTCTAATTTCTCGACCATTTACATGTGTGTTCTTTGTGCTGCATATACAGTCAATGGTGAGCAGAGAGACTGAAAGCAGCTTCTATATCATTCAAGTTCTGTGGTCATTCAGTGTCAGGGCTTCAAAGCACGGCGGGTTTCATTTCAGCCAGATCCACTTGTCCCCCACCTCGGAGTTGTAACCTTTGTCAAAATTGCGACCAGGAAGCTAGAGAAAAACAAACAAGTCCGGTCAGGGCTAGGCCATTTATGATGATAAATCATTTCTTCTTCTTCTTCCACACTTCACCTCCCCACCCCCAACACGTTTGGCCAGGATTTCAATTTAAAAAAAGACAAGTGATTTTTGGGTGCCCAATTTTCAGGGGGAGACCGCTCATTACTTCCTGTACATCAGGCCTCTTTAAAGTAACTTCAAATGGGCATCCACAATGAGATGTTGCTTTAAAAAAACCATTGGCCAATATTTCTCTTGGTTGACAGCTTCAGAAACCTGGACACCTTCCTAGGATATCCTAACAAGTAATTTTAATGAGAAAGGATCCTAAACGTTTAAAGGGTTCATTGTAGTTTGTCCCACAGAAACGGAGTAAGAGTGTAGAAACTAATCCCAAACTAAATGCAAATTAAAAATACAAAAGATGGCATGCATGAAAAATCCAGTTAATTATTATAGTAAAACTAGTCCATTTAAAACACATTAATATTCAGCCTTTATATGCAGATCTAACTTGAATTTATTAAAACAGAAAACTTTTTCCAGGGGTCAGTGTTTTCATTGCATTGTCAATTTGCATTTAACAGACAAATGTTTCCTAATTTGCATGGAACAGATTGACAGAGCCAGAAGAGTACCCAGAAGTCACCAACTACAGGACAGGCCTAACAAAGAAAATAACAGAACGCCACTAGCCATCACCTTCAGCCCCCAACTAAAACCTCTCCAACACATCATCAAGGATCTACAACCTATCCTGAAGGACGACCCATCACTCTCACAGATCTTGGGAGACAAGCCAGTCCTTGCTTACAGACAGCCCCCCCAATCTGAAGCAAATACTCACAAGCAACCACACACCACACAACAGAACCACTAACCCAGGAACCTATCCTTGCAACAAAGCCCGTTGCCAACTGTGTCCACATATCTATTCAGGGGACACCATCATAGGGCCTAATCACATCAGCCACAATATCAGAGGCTTGTTCACCTGCACATCTACCAATATGATACATGCCATCATGTGCCAGCAATGCCCCTCTGCCATGTACATTGGTCAAACTGGACAGTCTCTATGTAAAAGAATAAATGGACACAAATCAGACGTCAAGAATTATAACATTCAAAAACCAGTTGGAGAACACTTCAATCTCTCTGGTCACTTGATTTCAGACCTAAAAGTGGCAATTCTTCAACAAAAAAACTTCAAAAACAGACTCCAACGAGAGACTGCTGAATTGGAATTAATTTACAAACTGGATACAATTAACTTACACTTGAATAGAGACTGGGAGTGGATGGGTCATTACACAAAGTAAAACTATTTCCCCATGTTTATCCCCGCCGCTGCCACTCCTCACTGTTCCTCAGACGTTCTTGTCAACCGCTGGAAATGGCCCACCTTGATTATCACTACAAAAGGTTCCCCCCCGCCCCCACCCCGCTCTCCTGCTGGTAATAGCTCACCTTACCTGATCACTCTGGTTACAGTGTGTATGGTAACACCCATTGTTTCATGTTCTCTGTGTATATCAATCTCCCCACTGTATTTTCCACTGAATGCATCCGATGAAGTGAGCTGTAGCTCACAAAAGCTTATGCTCAAATAAATTTGTTAGTCTCTAAGGTGCCACAAGTACTTCTTTTCTTTTTGCGAATACAGACTAACATGGCTGCTCCTCTGAAACATGGCAGCTAAAGTTCCTCATACCATTTATTCAGGTCTCAACAACTTCATCTGAAAACAAAGTGATGACAATCTTTGTTTGGGACACATCACAATTTTATTACTACATGCTACCTATACACAGTGTAATGCATTTCCAAATAGAATATTACTTGACACACTGTCATAGAATATCAGGGTTGGAAGGGACCTCAGGAGGTCATCTAGTCCAACCCCCTGCTCAAAGCAGGAACAATCCCCAACTAAATCATCCCAGCCAGGGCTTTGTCAAGCCTGACCTTAAAAACCTCTAAGGAAGGAGATTCCACCACCTCCCTAGGTAATGCATTCCAGTGTTTTACCACCCTCCTAGTGAAAAAGTTTTTCCTAATATCCAACCTAAACCTCCCCCACTGCAACTTGAGACCATTACTCCTTGTTCTGTCATCTGCTACAACTGTGAACAGTCTAGAGACATCCTCTTTGGAACCCCCTTTCAGGTAGTTGAAAGCAGCTATCAAATCCCCCCTCATTCTTCTCTTCTGCAGACTAAACAATCCCAGTTCCTTCAGCCTCTCCTCATAAGTCATGTGTTCCAGTCCCCTAATCATTTTTGTTGCCCTCCGCTGGACTCTCTCCAATTTTTCCACATCCTTCTTGTAGTGTGGGGCCCAAAACTGGACACAGTACTCCAGATGAGGCCTCACCAATGTCAAATAGAAGGGAACGATCATGTCCCTTGATCTGCTGGCAATGCCCCACCATATAGATCCCAAAATGCCATTGGCCTTCTTGGCAACAAGGGCACACTGTTGACTCATATCCAGCTTTTTGTCTACTGTAACCCCTAGGTCCTTTTCTGCAGAACTGCTGCCGAGCCATTCGGTCCCTAGCCTGTAGCAGTGCATGGGATTCTTCCGTCCTAAGTGCAGGACTCTGCACTTGTCCTTGTTGAACCTCATCAGATTTCTTTTGGCCCAATCCTCTCATTTGTCTAGGTCCCTCTGTATCCTATCCCTACCCTCCAGCGTATCTCCTGGAGCTCTCCTCCCAGTTTAGTGTAATCTGCAAACTTGCTGAGGGTGCAATCCACACCATCCTCCAGATCATTTATGAAGATATCGAACAAAACCGGTCTGAGGACAGACCCTTGGGGCACTCCACTTGATACCAGCTGCCAACTAGACATGGAGCCATTGATCACTACCCGTTGAGCCCGACAATCTAGCCAACTTTCTATCCACCTTATAGTCCATTCATCCAGCCCATACTTCTTTAATTTGCTGGCAAGAATACTGTGGAAGACCGTGTCAAAAGCTTTGCTGAAGTCAAGGAACAACACGTCCACCACTTTCCCCTCATCCACAGAGCCAGTTATCTTGTCATAGAAGGCAATTAGATTAGTCAGGCATGACTTGCCCTTGGTGAATCCATGCGGACTGTTCCTGATCACTTTCCTCTCCTCTAAGTACTTCAGCATGGATTCCTTGAGGACCTGCTTCATGATTTTTCCAGGGACTGAGGTGAGGCTGAATTGCCTGTAGTTCCCAGGATCCTCCTTCTTCCCTTTTTTAAAGATGGGCACTACATTAGCCTTTTTCCAGTCGTCCGGGACTTCTCCCGATCGCCATGAGTTTTCAAAGATAATGGCCAATGGCTCTGCAATCACATCCGCCAACTCCTTTAGCAATCTCGAATGCACCGCATCCGGCCCCATGGACTTGTGCTCATCCAGCTTTTCTAAATAGTCCCGAACCACTTCTTTCTCCAGAGAGGGCTGGTCACATCCTCCCCATGCTGTGCTGCCCAGTGCAGTGGTCTGGGAGCTGACCTTGTTCGTGAAGACAGAGGCAAAGAAAGCATTGAGTACATTAGCTTTTTCCACATCCTCTGTCACTAGGTTGCCTCCCTCATTCAGTAAGGGGCCCACACTTTCCTTGACTTTCTTCTTGTTGCTAACATACCTGAAGAAACCCTTCTTGTTACTCTTAACGTCTCTTGCTAGCTGCCACTCCAAGTGTGATTTGGCCTTCCTGCTTTCACTCCTGCATGCCCGAGCAATATTTTTATATGCTTCCCTGGTCATTTGTCCAATCTTCCACTTCTTGTAAGCTTCTTTTTTGTGTTTAAGATCAGCAAGGATTTCACTGTTAAGCCAAGCTGGTCGCCTGCCATATTTACTATTCTTTCTACACATCGGGATGGTTTGTCCCTGTAACCTCCATAAAGATTCTTTAAAATACAGCCAACTCTCCTGGACTCCTTTCTCCCTCATGTTATTCTCCCAGGAGATCCTGCCCATCAGTTCCCTGAGGGAGTCAAAGTCTGCTTTTCTGAAGTCCAGAGTCTGTATTCTGCTGCTCTCCTTTCTTCCCTGTGTCAGGATCCTGAACTCGAGCATCTCATGGTCACTGCCTCCCAGGGTCCCATCCACTTTAGCTTCCCTTTTAAATGGAAACCAGCCTTCTGGATAGATTTTAGACAGCTCTCCCCTTAACATTCTAGAAAGTTCAGTCTGCCCAAACATCTCATGTCCCCTTCAAGTGGGATCCCAATGGACCCTCCAGCTGGCATGATCCAACTTTTTAGACAGTTACTTATCTAAAAACAGTTCTGGCTGACCATTTCTGTGGTATAGCCCAGGCCCAACCCTCTAGGATGTGTCGGCCTAAGACCATAAGGGAAAGGGAAGCTGATCAGGACTTGAAGCTGACAGGTAAGAGGAATGAGTGGAGAGAAGCGTGCAATTGTGAAAACCAAGGAACAGGTGGGGAGTGCAGAGAAAAGGGGAGTGGCCAGGATTGCTAGGAAAGGAGATAGCGCAGCAGGATAAATCCTAACTTGAGAGAGGACAGGAAGGGGGGTTATAGATGGAAGTAAAGCAAAGGTGCATGGGAAGAGCTGAACAAGAATCCTATTGCTTGGTAGGATGGGACGCTTTAATGGGAAGCAACTCTGGGATCCATGTCTGAGCTGGGCAGGGGATCAGCAGACCTTCTGAGCATGAGCAAGAGCGTGGAAAATTCAAGTGTAACATTAAAAAAGACAATCCTTTTATGGACAGTCTCATGCAGTTTCTCAGTACACACACAACTCTTCTACTTCAAGAACTACTTCCTGCAAGGAGGTGGAAGGAAAGAAGCGCAGGCAGACTTGCGGAGCAATGCCAGGACAGCACAGTCCCCTGCCTGTGCACGTGAACAGGAAGTAGAACCAAAGCATTACACAGCCTACATTTTCAGTATCCAGGAACAGCACAAAACCACCCCAGAGTACACAGTGAAAAATCCAACTGCAATACAAAATTAAATTTCAAGCTGCT